GGTAATATTTCGAATGTTTATTAGTTTTAAATTTTATATTTTCCTAGAATGTTATATCCTAGATTTACAACCACCACCATGATTAAGCGCTTAGGCGAGATTTTTTATATCTTGTTTAGCGAACCCGCCGCCCGCCAATAATGCTGATTCCGAATAAAAATAAAATTTTATTTTTGGCTAATTATCGCACCCGCCGCCACGAAAAATTTGAAATTTCAGAAACTCGTCCCGACGTCGTCAAACTCATCATATCCAGCCTTTTACTGTCATATCTTAACTACGCCTCTGGCAACCATTATCTCATATTAAAAAAATCATCATTTAAGCGTGCGATGCTTTCACTGTCGAACGTTTAGAGCATAGGATACACGATACTCCATTGTTTACATAAATTTACATCAATTTGATTTCTTATATTAGTTTAATATATGTTTGTTATGTTTCAAGTTTCTATCGGGTGTCGTAGTAGTGAAGCTGCAAGTGAAAATGTAAAAGAGAATTAAAAATAACAGTAGCAATAATAAGTAGCATTAATAGACTTAATCAATGAAGTTTCATAAATAATTGATAATTCTACACTTGCCTTCCTCAATCATAGCTTCTAGAAGGTATTCTTGGGAGTAGGCCATGGAGATAAATTTAGTCAATGCTTCATAATACGCTGGCATGTCATCAACAGAGATGTTAGTCAAATACTCTGTCCGTGTATAGTCATTGTATGCGATTTTGTCAACATCACCGCGCCAATTGACTCTTCAGATTTAAACAATACAATAATTATTATTTTGATTATTAATTGTAATGATAATATTAGGCCTAATAATAAAATGATTATAAAAATTAATAACAATACAATATTATTATTATTATTATTATTATTATTATTATTATTATTATTATTATTATTATTATTATTATTATCAATATTACATAGGCCTACTATTAATATAAAACTTTCGTTCAAATAGTAGGCCTAATTTGACCGTGTGAATTAAAGTTTCTGCTTATGCTACAGTATAGTGTTTTACCAGTTTTACTCTCTAAGACTACAAACGTTATTTTGAATTGAAATGTTTACCTTATAACCTGTGTATTACACCTGTGATCAAATTGTGGCCCAATATCAAATCCATTCATTTCATAGTTCAGTATACCAGTAGATAACAACTTGAATGCAGTTGGATCATTCTTCTTGAGATCTTTTGCCAATTTAAACCCATCAACCAACCAGCTTTTACCACCAGAGGGCGCACATTTTATTCCATGCAGAAAAACAATCTATAAAAACAGAAGTGATGTGTTTAATTGAAATATTGATGGCTATAAATAATGTCTGTATCCCACCTTTTTTTAAAAGACTGTGAAAAATCTTAAACATTGAAACGAAAAAAAAAATGAATTGCTCATAAAAGGCGAACTGATAAAAGATCAACACTAAAAATGAAACGGATAGAAATGATCAGTTTTTTTTTTTCTGATCTACATTCTTCGATCTAACATATTCTAGCAAATTTCACTAACCAAAGGTTTACTCTTCTTATATTGCCTTTAACGTTTAGCAAAATTTGTTGATGAAGACAATTTGAAAATTTATGTTTGGCATAATAATTCGTATTACCCCTGGAATGTTGGCTCCATACGTGTAGTCTGTGTGCAAAGGTAACTCCTTTGAAGTATAGCCCAAAAAGAATGGATCTGCTTTCGATTCGACCCGCGAAACAACACTAAAATGAGAAATAAATCTTGTTTATTAGTAGCCATCTAAAAGTAAATGCAACAAAATATTTTCAACAAAAAATCTATAGTAGGCCCACTATTAAATAAACTCACCCTTGCGAACCCATCCTGAGTAGCAGAACACCCTTGTTGACTCCTAAACAGAACTCGCTCCTTTACACATGTGTTTTATTTAATTCAGATAGATCCACCCCTGCTACCCCTTATTCATATACTAACACGATTTATACCTACATACGAAATAGGTGCTCACCTAAATACCGCATTCCTTCTTTCTTTTCTTTCTTTCTTTCTTTTTTTTTTTTTTACTAAAAAGCATTTTAATAATTGTAATGAGTCTTACAAATAGCGTTAGATTTCCCCAGTGAAACAGTTACGCAACAGTTCATTTTGTAACGGTACTGTAAAAGACACCCTACCGGGTATGTTAGACCTATGCATGGATTTTTACTACAGTAGTTGATTTCACGAGCACACGGTCATCGATAAAAATGGCAGTTATTCTAAGACATTTTGTGGAAGATCACGAAAACTGACCTACGGTAATTAAATCAGAATACATAGAGTTTTAATTTTATTTTCAAATATTTTTTTTCTCTAAAATAATCATCCCACTTCGAGACCATATGCATCTCCTGTTTTCACCAGTAGTCTAGTCATACGTTTAAATACTTTTCAATAGTGAATGGAGAGTTTGTATGGAGAGGGTTTGTCGTGGATGAGGAAAAACACCTTTTTAATAACATAACAAAAAGAAATAACATTTTAAATTGGTCGTTTTAATGTACTCTACAACTCACCCGTAAAATGTTTCCCTAAGATGGGCAAGTCTTTTCCCAAGTGTCCTGAGCTCGTCGTTTTGCGTCGGCGCTCCTTTAATCCAAGATAAGCCATATTCTTTGGTGCATTTCATCCACTTATAGAGGGTAGTGCTATTATTTATTACATCATCGTATTGGAATCTTGGCAAATATGTCATCACATCAGACCCCCAGTGTATTTGTTTTATGAGAGGATCACTCCTGATCTCTCCAACATTTCGGTCTTTTAACCATGAGGGATGAATGACTGTAGTATGCCCGCTTGTATCATGTAGTTTTAAAGTACTGTCTTCAGCCAACTCAGAAAAATGTAGTGTTGCACTTGCATTAATGTCTTTTAAAGAAAATACTCTTTCATTGAGATTGAAATCATAGCAATGTTTGCAACGGCAGTTATCCCTTAGCCAAATGTACGGATAATGCGTCACACGACCATCATTCCATGAAACGTTTACAAATTTACCATCATCTGACGCAAAAATTGCCTGTACTTTATTGAAACCATTATCGCTGCCACTCTTGCTGATTAACTTGGATGACGTTGAAGACACTTTTTCCGAAAAAGACCTCACAGACGACGTCTTTCCAAACATAAAGACTGCAGGAACGTGTATTATTGGCATTTTAATGTGAAGGCTCCTAATCCATCGCATAGCATGTAGTCTGTTGGCATTTCGAGTCAAAAAGTGTACTACTAAGTTACTCATCATGTAAATTTACCTGCAATGACCAAAACATTGTTTTATCATTCTAAAACCGAATCATGTTCTGCTTTTAACCTAAGGACCAAAATTGCAATATTTGGTTATAGTCCTACTCCATGAAATCCACATTGAACATATGCAATAAACAATAGTTTATTGTTCAGTTTATAGCTCAACACTTTTTAAAATATAAATTTTTCATAAAATATGCGGAGCAATCAAGATTCACGTTGGGTACACGTTGGGTAATAAGGTTTAACTTACCTTCCACCTAAAGGTTTCTATTACTATCGTTCGTAATAATATCATGTACGTACGTGATGCTATGACGTAAGTACGTGATAATAACAAGTAGGCCTACACGTAATATTATTCTAACTAGCGAACAGTGAACAGTCACATTTAAGTTTAGTTACGGAGCGTCAAATAATTTATTCTTTGATGGTTGACACTTTAAAGTAGTTTGTGAGATGGATCGAGTGAAATTCTTGGTATCATTTCCCTATAAATGATGTGTTGAATGATGTGTATATGTTACTGCTTCTCCCCGATTTATCCATTCGGAACAAAAATGTAAGCCCGCACATGTAATGAACATAAAACGTTAATCTCCAGGTCCCTTCATTCACCAAAATGAATGCAATTTTTCACAAATGATGCGTTTCAGAAATCTATTAGGCCTATAAGGCCATCAAAATGCTGGTTTCAGTCAGTTGTATGAAAGTGCTTGGGGGTTAGGTGACGTACAGTACTACATCCTATAGGTGTCCGTGGTCTAATGGGTACGACACTTGACTTCATAGCGAAATGTTGCAGGTTCGCATCCCACCAGACACCTTTCATACAAAGGAATAAAGGAACTTCTCGATAGAGCAATCTCATCGAAAACGTCGAGAAACCAACCAGTGGTTCTACTTCAAAAAGCATATTTTTACACATGGTGTACAGGAAGTTTTAGCATTTTGTTATTGCATGTCCTGCACAACGTTGAATTGAACTGGTAGTGGTAGATCTGTCTCTTATACACATCTAGATGTGTATAAGAGACAGGGCTTCATCTCCTCCCCATGTCGTAGAGCTCACGGGCGCCCGGGCGTTACACCACTGTCACTGAACACAACACATATTTTTGCTTAAGTCAAGTGTGGGGGATGTCTCACAATAGTCAACGTCGCCACCGAGGCCAAGATTTTCACTTTAAGCGATAGAATATACACTGACGTGTCAGGTGCTTTTAGCAGTCTAAAAACTTGTACTGTAGCCTACTTACGTACAAGGGGAAGTGTGTACTCTATGGGTTGTAGAATAGGCCTATCTTTGTCTTCGTCGCCAATTTATAAAGTGTAGGCCCTAGCAGCATTCGGATCAAGGCAGCTCTTATCTACCCGGAAGTGACTGGACATTGACCATTATCTATTTCATGGAGGAAGTGTAGTGTACTCTAACCCCACATAATATTTGTATGACCTTTGTAATCGGTATTGAACAAATGTGGAATGCACTACCCATTGAAGTCCGTGAATCAGCGTCAATTGACGTCTTTAAAAAGCGACTCAAAACATTTTTATTTGCCTCTTTATAGCTACATTATTAGGGGACCCATGCCATTATTATTGAGGGCCCATGATAGTAATTTTTATTTTTGAAAAAAATATTGAAAAAAAAAATGCCACCTGCAATTTCTATGGGCCCCTGGTAAGCTTGGGCCCCGGGATCTTTCCCCCTGCCCACCTCCTCTCGGTGGCACTTACAAAGTCGGTGGCACTGACATAGCCGCCGAGAGCGGCCGTCGGCCACGGAACACATTAGCTGCACGGAGTTATTAGCGGGGGGTCTGGGGGACGCGTGGTGCCCAGGGGCATGAAAAGATTTTTAACAAATCAAAATTTAATGTAGGCCTATATTCAGTATTGATTCGACAAAGATGAGAGCTCTCTAGCAGTTCTATATATGTAGGCCTATATATTGACGATACCCATGGTACTTATAAGCCTTTAATAATTATTAATAAAGCACAGAATTTAATTACTATTTTATAAATAGTAATTTGCAAACATAAACTCTAGTCATGAAAAAGAATTCGACATTTTGTTATCTTGCCTTGTGGTCTAGCATTGACATGCACAACCCAGTGACAACTGTTGTTCTTTAAATTATTTAAAACAAAAATATCCCTGGTTAGTTTCATCGTGGAGTAAATAAAACTATTTTTATTTCACGTGATAGGTAGGACCTAGGTTTAATAATTTTAATTAATTTTTTTTTCAGCTAGCAGCGGGGCACTTGCCCCGTCCGAGTCTGTCCAGGCCTCTCGGTGCAACGGGCAGCATCGTCCAAATAATGTTTGTAATTTTGATTTTGTGATAGCCTGGTGTCATTCAAATAAAAGAGAAAAAATATAGGTCTTTGACCTTTGTTTTATAGACACCGGGAAGCAGTTGAGATCTAAAAGCATTTAAATTGCTTGTTCTCACCTTTAAAGCTCTCCATTTTAATGAACCATCATATTTGCGTTCATTGTGCCCCTCAAAACGCACAAAAAAAAATATTTTAAGCGCCCGGGCGCTTATTCGCACGAGTACGGTACTTGAAATACTTTTGTTTTCCTGATGACGATGATCAGAGCAATCTCATCGAAAACGTCGAGAAACCAACCAGTGGTTCTACTTCAAAAAGCATATTTTTACACATGGTGTACAGGAAGTTTTAGCATTTTGTTATTGCATGTCCTGCACAACGTTGAATTGAACTGGTAGTGGTAGATAAAACGACATTAGCTGCCTTTCTGTCAGAGCAGTCGCCAAGTCTAAAGTATTTAGTACATGCATTTCTAAACATGTGTATTTTGTGGTTATTGAGGCTTGAAATCAATTACTGTACTCCATTGGTATTAATAGTCACGGCCTCCGTCTGTATTTTATTCTATAAAAACATGCACAAACGTATAGGCCGGACTAAAACAACATATGCTCCCGACGAGAGAGTATGTCTAATGATGATACCAGTGTCTACATTATTACTTTTAAAATACTGCACTGT